TGATATTGTTATTGCAGGCAGAAACTTCAGAGGATTTGTATGAGTGGAAGACAGCACTTGAGAATGCTTTGGCACAAGCTCCAAGTCCTGCTCATGTCATGGGACAAAATGGTATCTTCAGGAATGATCAAGCAGATGTGACTGATGCTTCTAAGGAACAGTGTAAGATTCAGTCATGTTTCACATTCATTCCATAATTTTTTGTTTATGAGAAACAGTTAAGTTTCCATATGCATTTTAGCCTCTATTACTTAATTTTTTTACCTAGAGATTGTTTCTATGTTGCATAATGCTCTGCTTCCCAGCTTAATTTCAATTTTCAAGAGGCAACACATAGGAAATATTTGCATTGATATATTAAGAAATTAAGTTTCATTAGTGTGATAAAATAAAAATAGTGAAATTAAGATGCAAGTTTGTTACTTTTTCTTTTCTTTTTTGAGCGAGAATAATGTTTGGGACAAGGAGTATGATATGACAAGAATCAAGGATAGATTTGCTGGCCTGAGTTGAATTTGTGACTTGGAAATCACTAGATCTTAGTCTTTGGAAATGAACCCCTAGGCCAAACAAGCCAGTTCGATAAGTGCTGGATGTCATTTTGCATTCTTTGGCTTTACTACAACCTTCTTTCTTTTGGTATGTTTATGTAATTCCAATTTAGGTGTAAATCACAAATCATAAATGAAGTATGAGATCCTCTGAAGGTGATTTTGTGGAGTAGGACTTACATGTGGTTAATCTTATGATATTTTGAGCTTGTTTGATAAGCTTTTATGTTTCCCCACTTTTTCTGTTTTTTCTTTTGTAGCAAAGGATAAAGCACCTACGAGATATACGGTCACAGGGACACCAATTTTACTTGCTCTTGAAGATGTTGATGGAGCTCCAACCTTTTTGGAAAAAGCCCTTCGGTTTGTCGAGGAGTATGGTGGGTTTTTCCTTTTCCTCTCTGGAATCTCATTTCAGCGGAATAGGTGGATACTTACAAGTGAACTTGATGACTTTAGAATGCATATACCAGTTGCTCTAATGCTATCTGTAGAGACACCATAATTTCTCATTTAAGTTACCTGAAAAGTTGCACCCGTAATATTCTATTGTTCTCCTTCTAATAATTCAAAAAATTTTGTTGAACTGTGTTGATTCATGTACTTGAAGTCATATCTGATTAGATCGATAAAAACCATTTGACAGGAATCAAAGTAGAGGGAATCTTGCGACAAGCTGCTGATGTTGAAGATGTGGAACGCCGGATTCGGGAGTATGAGCAAGGTCTGTTCAGATATATATATATATATATATATATATACTTTTCAATTTCATTATTATCATTGAGGACAGCTCCTTTGTTGTTCCCTTTACTTACAGTTCACACTACAAAAATCAGGACTTGATATTGAATTAGTAAAAGCCACCATTGAAGCTTTGGCGAATTGAATTCTGAAATTTATATTCAAGTTGTTCTCCTGGCAAAAAGCTGCACAGTAGTTCAAAATTAGACTACTTTCTACTCTCTTTTCTCTCTCTCTCTCTCTCTTTTTTCATCATGGCTTCTTGTTCATGCATTTATATGGCAGGAAAAACTGAATTTTCCCCAGAGGAG